TATGTATCCTCACCTATTTCTCTTATGTTTTTAAACTTATTTGACATACATGCAACGCGTGCCTTCTGTGCATTCATTATTTTAGTCTTTGCGTAATTTTGTGTATTCATTGCATCGTAACCATATGATCCATTAAGTGAAATCTTGCAAAATAAACTTTTTCCTTTATTTCCTTCTAATTCGGCCTTTTGTCTTTCGTTCATAAATTTGTTCGCAAATTCATTAAAACAAGTGTTTTTCGTAAATGTTAAAATTGATTGAATATCATCGATGATAAAATGAAATCTGTCTATTAGATACCAAAGATAATAAGAAGAAAATGGTTGATATTGGTTGTGTGTTGATGCTAACTGAGTTAATTTCTCTGTTTCTGGTCAACTGGTAGATTGTTTGATTTCATGTAATTATACATAAAACTGCCAATTGTTTTTTCATCTGTGATAATATCTAAGTTTCTTATTATCGGTAAAAAGTTTATGTAATCATTAATGTATTTTTCATCAATGTGACCCTTTACTTCAGCCACGAATAAAGTATTTTTCTTCTTAATTATTCCCAGTGCTTTTGCTTTCTTTGTTGCTGTATCACAAATGATAACACCATTCAATCTTCCCGGCATATACATTTTATGGTCAGTATATTGAATGAAATCATGAGGATTAGATGAAAATGATGAAGGATATAATGAATTAAAATCAACACCAACGAAATGAGTCATGTTGGTGTGTCCTCATTTGATACAGTTTTAGTTTCTGGATTATATGAAAGTTTATTAATGTGTGTGATTCCTTTAAGATTTACTCTATGTTGAACATTTGATAAACCACCAGTAATTCCATTACGGAGAATGTGATAAGCTTCAACTGAATCTAAAGTCATTGGTAAATTATTTTTTAATGCATAATTTCTTAAATTGATTCTTAAACGTTGAACATCTTCATCTTTATTTGATTTTACGACATTGCAATAACAACACATTAACTGACAATTTTCTTTGGTATGTGGTTTTTCATTATCGATTCTATCCAATGTTGGTTTATTTGCATATGTAAACGCTTTACCACACATTTTGCATTTAGATGAAAGGATTAAATCGTGATAGTATTGAAAATCATCCATTGAAACATTATTTTTAGTATCCCTTTCTGCTTTTTCATCTTGTTTCTTATATGATTCAATTTTATATTTCCAATACTTTTTCGTTAATTCAAAACTTGATTCTATCTCTTCCTCAGGATATTTTTCATTAGGATTAAAGTCTTTATATGCTAAAGCGTAACGAATCATTGAAGCATTCGATGATAAAGAAAGATTATGAAGCATATCAATTTTATAAACAAATGTTTCTTCAATAATTTTATCAATTGGGTCAATCATAATTTCAACATCTTTATTGCAATAATGAATAAAATATTCTAATCTATTCTTAAAGTTTTTAGCATCATTGAGATATATTTGATAATCACTATCTGATATAGTTTCTTGAGTTAATGCTGAATAAAATGAATCTTGTGAATGGTTCCTCTTTATATAATTCTTCTTCGTAATTTTCCCATGTGATGAATTGATAAGGGAAAAAGGATTTAACACGTGATTTATTGTTTCCGAAATCTTGAGTGAATTGGTCTAATGTCCCACCCGCTATATAATTTCTGATGTCAATAAATCTCAATTCATATGGAACGTTTGTTTTCTTTACAATGATTTGCTTAAATTGAAGAAGAACCCAGCATTGATTTTATTTTCCATTTTGCAGTGTTTAAATCACGAAGAATTAAATTTAAATCAAACTTTCCCGAATTAAAACCTATGATATTCACTTTATTGAATTCCTCATCTAGAAGTTCTTTAAATGCTTCCTTCTGTTTTTCATTTAATGTATGAGACAAAGTCCCCGCCGTTTGCGTTTGCGACTTCATTAATTCTTCATATTGTTCAATATTTGATTTAGCAACTAATGAACAGGTTGAAAATAAAAACTCAATCCAATCAGAAATAAAAGAATCACTCGAAGTTAAGCAAAAATTCCTCGTATATGTTTTATCATTTAATTTAACCGTTGATGATACCATGAATGGTTTTAAGTAAGCGTTCAAAGTTGCACACTCAGAAAGTTGTAATTCTTCTTTAGTCTCTAATGTTTCGAAGTCAAAAGTAATATAATATCTTGTCGGTTGATAATATTCCTGCAAATTATGAGCTAATAACCACTGATATATCTTCTGTTTCGTAATATGTGGTGCATATGGTTGCTGTGTCTTTTGCAATTGAACGTCTTGAATTAATCTTCCATTATTTTCTTTACATTTCTCACAATGCTTTAAAAATCTTCTTTGGTTTTTCCTTTCTGGATCATCACGGATAGAATAAACTTCTTCTTTACAATATGGACAAACTTATAGCCGGTGAGTGCTTCAACGTCTGTTATTCTGTCAGCGTGAAGTTTTCCACATGGACTCTGTGTTAATAAAATATTTACTGTTTCAAATTCTGGATCTATCATTATTGATTCCACTAATGGAAAGTCTACCTTATTTATGTCCACGTCTTCTGGTTGAGGATCACAATAATAGAAATCAATATTAACATTTAACATTCTCGCTAATCTCTCACTTTCTGATGAAATGTCAAACCCTTCATATGCATCTATTGCTTCATTTAAATAGCTTCTACGAGTTTTAGGATTAACACCATCAGGAATGTTATAGAAGCGTTTAAATAACCTTCTACCTTCTGCTCTAATTTGATTATCATTCATTTTAGCTGTTCCGTTTTTGTTCATTTATGTAAGAATAAAAAAATAAATAAAAATAAAGTTTATTTTTTAAAGCCGTAAAATGAATTAAGAACACATAAATTTTTATCATCTGCGACGTGACGAATACATTTTAATTTACTCAAGAATGCGTACCCTGATACATTAAATCTAATTCCTGTCTTATTTAATTTCACAACTTTGAAAAGGAATGTATGAATAGCTATAAAATGATGAGAAGATGTTTTATGGGTTGCTTCCATTTTTTCTGAAATAAATGAATAAATATAATGCTTATACGTTTTCATATCTTTTATATTCTTAATAACGAATGGTATAGACCTTTCCACTTCATCTTCCTTCGGTGCTGTTCTTTCATATGAAACATTATTGGTATCTTCAATAATGAAACCACAATCACACAAAATTTTATAGGTTCCAATGGTTTCTTTTGATATTTTATCTAATAAATCAAAAACTTTATCAACACCTGTGCATTTATTTAAATAATAATTTGTGTAAATATCATGATCTTCTTTCTTAATCGTATTAGTTGCATATGTCACGTTTTTAAGAGCTTTTTTGAATTTTTCGGAATCTAAAGGTGGTGAAAGTAGGATACAGGGTATTCTTCATTATCAATAAATTGTAACTTATGTTTACGATAAATTTAGTACCTTCTTCTGAAAGTGTTTCGTCTATTTCGCCATCTAATAAATTTTGTGTTGATTCTGAGACATAATTTTTATATCTTTCTTCATGAGATTTCTGAACTTCTGATTCTGAAGCTGGGATATTCATTAAACCCTCTACTTCATTTTCAACTTCTCTTAATTCCTTAATTTTTTCATCTATTTCATCTCTTATTTTTTCCAGTCTTTCAATTTCATCGTATTCATCATCTTTAATCCGTTCTTCATAATATTCAGGGAAAACATCAGGTTCTTTAGGTTTTTCTTCTTCAGATGTGGGATATATGAAATTTATAACATCATCTTTATTCATTTTTCCATCATAATCTAAATCATTTAATAACTCGGCAAATTTTTGACAATTTCTTAAATAATATTTACTAACTTCATAACACATCTCATCTAATATATCCTTTATTTCCTCGTTTGTGAATCCTAATGTTTTCACGTCGTTAGTTTTGACGCTCATTTCTTACGAATTAAAAAATAAATTATTCAAAAATGTGAGACATGAATTTTTAAAGTTTATTTTTTATTCATGAAAATAATTATTTCTAATTTCTTTTACTCTCTCGTACATACTAGATTTGAAGAATTCGGAACTTTTACCATAATCTCCTAAATGTTTTCTTATCCCTAACGTGTGCCAGTTATTATATGAAACTGAATAAACTTTATCTTTATCTTTACACCTTTCATTACTTCCAATATATTTATATCTCAGTTTTGATTTAGCATTTTCATATTCATTAGCGTTTAATAATTCACAGTCTTCCTTTTTAAATTGATGTTTAAGATATTCAGGATTTAATACTCTACGTTTATATGCTCCTAACTTAGTTCTAAAGGTTTTTCTACAAAATTTAGGAATTCCATCCTCTTTAATGTCATCAATGATTTCCATTTCATTATTTTCAATTTCTTCTTCTCGTTTATGAGGTCTTTGATTATGACTCCATTGATTCCATGAAATTAAATATTCTTTATCATTATATTTATATCTCATTAGCTTATTTTGGCTTTCATATTCATTTAATAATTCACAGTCTTCCTTTTTAAATTGAAGTTTAACCCATTCATGATTTAAACAATGTTTAATTAATCGTGGAATATCTGACATCATCTATATATAGCTTCTTTTATAAAAGATATAAAATAAATTATTTTAAAATTAATGTCTTACATTTTTTAATGTGTTTAGTATATAATATTTATTACTAATTTATTTAATAATGTCGCACTTTCTTACAAATTCATGACTTTTAAAAAACGTAAGAAAAAATTTTTATATCATCTATATATGGAAGATGCATTAAAATATACCTTCATCTATATATAGACGTAACAAAAAAAGTCACACACCCCGTTCTATCCTACTACTGGTGCATAAACATTAGGAATACAAGTAATTTCACATTAATATGTTAAGACATACTCATATGAATTACCGAATGTTTTATCTAAAATTGGATCCAATCACAAAAAATTCTCTTTTTTTACGGTGAAAAAAATTTTTTTGAGGTTTTTTATTGAAAAATTAGATTTTCATTCTTATGCAAATCGAAGGGCGTCTCGGTATTACAACACTTGGTGAAGAAAAATGTACTAAAGTTTTATATAATCCACTGCTTGAAGAACCTTATCAAGGATATTTTCGCGAGCAAATTGGAATTTTATCAAGTTTAGTTCACCCTGCATTGCTAAAATCCGAAATCAGAGATTACAACCCACAGACAGGCTTTTCTTTTATTACAGATAGAGCAAAATTAACGTTAGAAGATTTAATTGCCGGAAAAGATCCTTCTTTATTCACAAATCATAATAAAATGTTCATCCTCATTACAGTAGCTCATGCCATGGCGTATTTGCATAGGAATTGCGTTCTTCATGGAAACTTACATCCAAGAAATGTAGTTTTTGACAATAACCTGAGAGTTAAACTTATAGATTACGGTCTTAACTCATTCGCCAAAAAGACTCCAGCACAGGTTGATGCCGAAAATGGCAGAGCGACGCCATTTCTTGCTCCAGAGCTGATTAACCAAACAGTATTCGATGCATCGTCAGATGTATTTGCGTTTGGCACTCTTATGTACCAAGTTCTTTACAGAGAAAGTAACTGGATGTATGATAATCCATATAAACTTGCTCTAATCATCGGCGGAAGCTTTAGTGTTACATTCCCACAGAAGACTATATTCAAGGATTGCGAATCTCTCATCAGAGCTTGCTGGAATCCAAAACTTTCCCTGAGACCTACATTTGACACAATTGTCAACACTTTACACAAATCCATGCAGGAAGTTAGCAATGTTAACGTCAATGCTATCATGAAGGAGCTCCATTTCTTCAATTCAAACATCAGAGACTTAGTTCCTCCAACTGCTCCGAAATTCTTTGCGCAAATGACATTCGCTGCTATAGGCGGCTGGCCTATTGGCATGAAGGACTACGCGAATGTTTGGCTCAAAGGCAAGCATTTCGCTCCAAATATTCCGAAAGGGTTATATTATCTGAAAAAAGCTGCCAGAGCGGGCAATGGTAAAGCATGCGAGATGCTCGGATTATTCTACGAACAGGGAAGACACGTAGAACAAGATCTGATGGAAGCTTACGATTTATTCGAAATCGCTTCTCAGTATCCTGACTGTACATTCTCAGCTTACAAGTTCGCTTACTTCCTGATCAATGGTATCGGCGGTTTAAAGGACCAAAACCGTGGTTTTACCGTTTGCAAACAAGGAGCAGATAATAAAAATTATAATAACCTTGATTGCATTAATTACCTCGGCGAATTATACGAATACGGGTATGGAACAGCCAAAGATATCAAGAAAGCCAAGGAATATTACAAACTAGCAGCAAAATCTAATTTTCCGAAAGCATTGTACAACATCGCAAGGACAATGGAAGAAGATCCTAAGTCAAGGAAGAAGGACATCAAGCCTGCATACGAAAAGGCTGCAAACGCGGGTTCTCCGGAAGCAATGAACAGATTAGGTGAAATGAACATGGAAGACAAGAAGAACGGAAGCCCAGACAAAGCAGTCGGATACTTTACAGAAGCTGCTTCTAAAGGATGCTTGAAAGCAAACTATAACATGGCTCTTTACTTGTATTCTATTGGAAACGACAAAGTGGCAACGGATTACATGGAAAATGCAGCTAGAGGTGGATTGGCTGAAGCTGTCCAATATTTGAAGAATACTCCTCATTAAGAGAATTAATAATTTTGATAATTATTTTGTTCTTTTTTTTATTATATCTTTTAAAACAAGATTTTATTATTTTTTATAGTAAATGTATAATTCTAAATTAAGATATCCATATTTTCATAGAATAAAACAAGAATTGAATCTAAATTATTCATTATTTGTCATTTTGATAGACTGATCATGATAAAAAATGAGTTTATAGCGTTCATTTTTCAGTGCCATCACATCAAAGTTCCTTCTATCACCTAAGCAATATCAATAAAAATTGATTTTTAAATTCGAATTTAATGACTATTGCATTGTCATCTGAGAATGAAATTCTTGGAATTTTGACGGAGATAAGCTTTTCTTGAAGTGACCATGGCGCTCAAAGAGAAGTATATTTCTTCAATTCTTGCCATATCTGAAGAATATTAGATTATAAAGTTGTGCACCATATCCTTTCTCATACATCATACTACTTAAGAAGATAATCCATTGAAGAGAATACTTTTAATGAATCATCTCAGTATGAAATAATAAACAAATCATAAATGTTAAAAAATTAAAAAGAAGTTTTAATTATACAATAATTACTACAATTGTGCTTTCAAACATCAACTGCATCATTATCTTCTTTCTTTGATTTTTCCTCTTTCTTTGAAGAGTGTAACATACAATAACCAAAGATGCCCACACATGTAAATGCAACAACAGCAAATACAACGACGCAAATTGTTAAAATTAGGTATGAAGGTAATGTTGTTGAATTATGGACGACAATGAGAGGTGCATTTGAAACTTTAATATCCAACTGCGCTCCTTTAACAAAAGGATCTGATGAGAAGTGCATTTCTTCGAGAGTGACTGATCTGCAAAATCTTTCAGGATCTGGGCAAACAACAGTTGCTTTTGTGCTTCCCCATGCTTGTTGGACACGCTTTGTAAATGTTTTACCAATTGTATCCTTCGTACAATTAATAATGAATTGCTTGTTATATGAGTCAGGCTGGACCGCATTAATAGAGAAACTTTCAAATCCATTGCATGAGTAATTTCCACATGTTACCATTCCTGGAAGAACTGCTTCTCCATTCTTACAAACATTTGATGGATATTTGAATGGAATATAATCATAAGGCCAATCACTGCCTATATGAGAAGAATCTAAAACATTGTAAAATTTTTCCCCATTGCAATAATAGCTATAATAAGAATCATTGCTCGGGCATTTAACAGTATTGATGGCATCGCTAGTTCCAAAGAATTTAAAAGAGAAACCTGATTTATCTGGATAAGTATTGTTAGAAAGATACAAAGCTGGAAATGACATTTGCGCAGCTCCTGTTGGAAAATTTTCTATTGGTTTTCCATTAATTGAATCTTTGTTGCCCAAAACTATGGGTTGAAGCATTGACCAATTAATGTCATAATTTCCCGTATCGATTAAAAATGACATTGAAACATCTGTCAAACGGTTAAAAGGACCGTTGTTTGTTTGAATATTAACACCAACCATCATTTCGCTCATGTAAACACGAGACTCTGGGTGAGCCATGGCCGTACCTTCTCCACCACCATCTTCAAGTTCAATTCCTGACCAACAAAAATCTCCATTATCACCGTAAAAATATTCCTGTCCAAAATGATTGACAGCGAATATATGCGCTTGCGGAGTGATTAAAAATGTAAACGTTTTCCCTCATTTTGTAAATGAACACGTTATATTCTCATGAGGAATTGGATTGTTTCGTGGGTGGTATCGTTCATACATGTATGGAGTTATTCCAAACGCATGACACATTTCATGTACTAATACGAAGAAATAATCGTTGTCCCAGTTATCATAATTACTTGCATTAGCAGGTATAAAAGTAGGATTAATGAAAATGACACCTTGAATAGGTCTACTAAAGTTTCCTTCCAGTTGTACTGAACCAGCTGAAGCAATAGTTTCTGATCCATTACCATATGGACGTAGAACAGGAGTTACATACATATCAACATTATCAACATATTGATCTTGAGGAATTGTTGTATAATTTCCATAATTATCTAGGAAAAATCCTGAGGATAATCTTTGAACTGATAATAAATGCTCAAAGTATGTTCTTACATTCTCCAATGTTTGAATAATAATATTTTGCTGTTGTTCGGAAACAATATCGTTACTGGAACAAATGTATCCTGCTTCCCACCAAATTTCCTGACCAACTTGAGTACAACGTAGTGGATCGTTTATCGATCCATTAATATAGCTGTAATCCATAGTTATTCTGATTGGTTGAAATGGAATTGTTGTTCGTGATGGAGGTCTTTGATGTTTTGTGGTCGGAACATGCTTGTTGTGTGTTTTTATGTATCCACATGATTTCTTCTTTGATTCAGCTAAATAAAGAAGAGTAATAAGATAAAGCATTATAAAAAAATGATTTTCTCTCTATTTCGATAGCTTCTCTCAATTTGATAGCTATTGAAAAATTTGTGGATAAATAAAATCAATAAATAGCTAATAAAGCTATTAACATTCGTTTTCGTAAATTTACGATAAATTGAATTCATAAAAAATTTCAACGTTTGAAAAATAATTTCACCATATTCAGATTTGTTATAAAGTTATTAATATTATTTTTGAAATTGCCAATTTTTCAAACAATTATTTCAATCTGATATCCAACTTTGCAAATCATTATTAATCGATAGACTTGAAAATACGATCGTGCTCTCAATTTTTTTGTAAACTCAGTAAAGATTGAGGGGAAAAATTGAAACATATTGCTAGATTTCGTTTTTAGCATTCTTTCTCATATTTTTGGAACTTTCATATGTAAATTAGTGCAAATTTTTTATATACCAAGATTATGAAGTCAGAATTTATGGTTTTAGCTTTATTCCTTTCTGGCTGTTAATTACATCCCTATTTATTATATGAAACGCATACTTTAGCAAAATTAAGATTTTCAAAAATTTCCCTCCAAAATTCAAAATTCATGCAAACAATGCATTCCCTAGCATTTCTTAAGTATTCTAACAACAGAAATATAATCACATATTGAGAATCATATATCATTGACACAACAAAATTGGACAAAAAGTTAATTTTATATTAAAACAAAAGGAGTAAGTAATACAAGAGAGATCGAAAATTGATTCACAGATTTGCATGTATAGTCTTGATCACAGTCATCTGAAAATGCAATTTGTGGGATTTTAACTGATATAAGCTTTTCTTGAAGTGATAGTGGAGCTTGGAAAGAACCACATTTCTTCAGATATGGACAGCCATCGAATGCTTCATTATCAATAATTGTTAAGCTTGATAAAGAAAAGAATATGAAGTTAAGATTCCTGCAATCTTTGAATGCTTGATACCTTATTTCACGTATCTTACTACCAGAGAAGAAAACTCTTTGAAGAGTCGGACATCCCATGAAAGCACAGTTGCCGATTGTGACCATGTCTGTTGGAACAGCGAAATTCTTAACACCACTGTATGGAAGGAAGAAGTAAAGAATTGTCTGGTAGTAATCTGTTAGTGCGCCGTTCTCAAACATGTACTTGTTGTCACTGGGATTTAGTGTGATAGTCTTAAGTTCGAAACAGCCATAGAAGCATCCACCTGCACAGTAGTTAAGGCTGCAATCTGAGACCATGCGAATATTGGTGAGCTTAGAACAAGACTGGAATGCAAAGTTTAGAATCCTTGTGAGAGTTTTTGGAATTGTGAACCCAGTGAGAGAGGAACAGCCATCAAATGCATATATGTCAATTTGCTCAACACCTGTATTCATATGATGCACAGCTTTGACAAAGTTGTTGTGAGATGTTGCATGCAATAGTAAGACTTTCGAGTTTAGATTGTGCAAATGCCTGTGTCCCAACTGTGTGACTTTGACTGGATATGTCTGCCGTAGTAAGACCACTTTGATAGAATGCATATGTACCGATGCTGGAAAGACTATTTAGATTTGTAATACCAATATCGCCAATCTTAGGTGATTCTCGAAAAGCAGATTCTCCAATACTAGTAATGGAAGATGGGAAAACAATCCGTGACAGCAATGGACATTGATAGAAGCAATAATCTGGAATCGCAGTTATTTGCGAACCTTGGAATACAACACTTGTGAGATTTTGACAGTTACTGAATGCATATTGTTCCATTTTCATTAATCCCGAAGGAAATGTGATTGATTTTATTGTTGATGAAGAAAATGCATATGAAGATATGTTGATCATTTCGTTGTTATCAAATGTAACATGTGATAATAACTTTAATTGGAATGCTCCAGTGCCAATAAGAGTGCAGCTGCTGTTGATTTTAATACTGGAAGAAGCATTTGATCCAAGATATGCAGTGATAGTTTGACGATTGTTTTTGTACATGACATAATTATCAATCTGGATTTCAGGATTCAACGAATTAATTGTAATTGAAATCTCTTTGAAAACACCATCACCAAATTGATCACATGTTGCAGGAATTGTTAACGTCCTAAGAGAAAAGCATTGTGCGAAAGCACCATCTCTAATTGACTTTAATTTTGAAGGCAAAACTAAATTTCGCAATGCTGAGCAACTTTGGAATGCCATTCTTTCAATCCTTACTATTGCGTCAGTAAATGTAACGGTAGTAAGATAATAGCAGTTAAAAAACATGTATTCAACAACAGTTGTCATTTGTGGAGGAAATGAGAATTCAGTTATTTTGCTCGCAGATAGAACCCAAGAACCAACAGAAGTAACTTGAGAACCTATATGACAACCTGACAAGGAACAACCTCTTATTGCAGAACTTTCAATTTTCGTCACGAAACTTGGAACGGAATATGTGCCAGTAAAAGCAGAGCTAACAAATAAGAGTGTTTCATTATTATTTCCAATAAAAATACTAGTGCCATCTGTTTTATATTTATTATTATTCTTATGGATTGAGAACTCTATTATTGGACAGCCTTGAAATGCAGAAAATGAAACATCAGTACAAAACTCAGGAAAATAGAAATATTCCAAATTTGAATCAGCGAAACAATCTGTTCTAATTGATCTCAAGTTCGAAGTCGGATTAATTTTTAGCTCTCTTAGTCCACTATTCGAAAAAACTTTATAATAGACAGGATGATAACCTGCAATTGTCCTAACAGTATCAGGAAGATCTAATTTTGTTAAAGCTTTAGTGTCTTTGAAGCATCCAGCATTTAAAGCTTCACAATTGGGAGGAAGTTTGACACTAGATAACTTCGTGCATCCAGAGAACATTGCGCAGTTGATATTTAATAATTTTGTGCATTCGCTGAGATCACATGAAACAAGAGCAGAATTGGCAAAACAATAGAAACAAACATCAGAAAGAAGACTTCCTCGTTCGGTACTAATTGATGTGATGTTGTCTCTGCAAAATAGGAAAGGACTTTTATCAGGCGAATCTCCTCCTTTAATCGTCGTGCAACTTGCAGGAATAATGTACTCACCAACAAGCGTATTAGGTGCCATGAGGAGAATAGTTCCATCTGCAGAAAATTCAACACCACGACTATTTCCACTAGAAATTTTTTAATCAAAAACTTTCATTAAAAATGTCACTTTTATATAAACTCTTATTTTATACCATCTTCCTAGGGCCCTTGGGATGTCTATATGGTACTAATATATATCATTTTGTGAACTTTCACAGAAATTATATTCCATCTTGCACATTTTTTTTAATTTTAACTAGCATCAAGACTCCTCGCAACGTAATATTTCATTCTGGCTGTTAATTACGTTTCTATTTATTATTTGAAAAGCTTACATTAACAAAATGAAGATTTTCAAAAATTCATACCAATAATGCATTTCCTTGCTTTTTATAAGTATTTTATCAATAGAAATATAATCATACATTGAAAATCAAATATCATTGACATAATAAAACAACTTCATTGTTCCTTTTCCTTAGTATTTATATATTATGATTAAATAATAACTTTTGAGTCTGCATATCTTAAAGTCAGATTTCTTTTCAAAAGAAATTTATGGGGGTGAAAAATTATACAAAATTTTAATAAAAGGCTAGTTTCAATATAAAATAATTTTATCGGAAAAGGATTATTAGATATTTGTAGCACCATGTTCAACTAAGAAATCGATAATATTTGTTGCTTCAATTTTGGTAGCAATACTAAGAGGGTATTCATTAATATTGAAAGAATATCATAAAACAATGATAAATATGAAAAGAAAGAGAATTCTATAAAACAATAATAAATATAAAAAGAAAGAAAATGTAATAAAACAATGATAAATATGAAAAGAAAGAGAATGAGTTTCACGTTAACATCTGCACCATGCTCAACTAGGAATTGGACTATTTCTATTGAATTCGATTTGATTGCAATACTAAGAGGGCACTCATTAATATCGAAAGAATTTCATAAAACAATGATAAATATGAGAAGAAAGATAACGTAATAAAACAATTATAAATATGAAAAGAAAGAGAATGTCATAAAACAATGATAAATATGAAATGAAAGAGAATGGTATAAAACAATGATAAACATGAAAAGAAAGATAATATCATAAAACAATGATAAACATGAAAAGAAAGATAATATCATAAAACAATGATAAATATGAAAAGAAAGAGAATGTAATAAAACAATGATAAACATGAAAAGAAAGATAATATCATAAAACAATGATAAACATGAAAAGAAAGATAATATCATAAAACAATGATAAATATGAAAAGAAAGAGAATGTAATAAAACAATGATAAATATGAAAAGAAAGATAATTCTATAAAATAATGATAAACATGAAAAGAAAGAAAATGTAATAAAACAATGATAAATATGAAAAGAAAGAGAATGAGTTTCACGTTAACATCTGCACCATGCTCAACTAGGAATTGGACTATTTCTATTGAATTCGATTTGATTGCAATACTAAGAGGGCACTCATTAATATCGAAAGAATTTCATAAAACAATGATAAATATGAGAAGAAAGATAACGTAATAAAACAATTATAAATATGAAAAGAAAGATAACGTAATAAAACAATGATAAATATGAAAAGAAAGAGAATGCCATAAAACAATGATAAATCTGAAAAGAAAGATAATATCATAAAACAATGATAAATATGAAAAGAAAGAGAATGCCATAAAACAATGATAAATCTGAAAAGAAAGATAATATCATAAAACAATGATAAATATGAAAGGAAAGATAATTCTATAAAATAATGATAAACATGAAAAGAAAGAAAATGAAATAAAACAATGATAAATATAAAAAGAAAGAAAATGTAATAAAACAATGATAAATATGAAAAGAAAGAAAATGAGTTTCACGTTAACATCTGCACCATGCTCAACTAGGAATTGGACTATTTCTATTGAATTCGATTTGATTGCAATACTAAGAGGGCATTCATTAATATCGAAAGAATATCATAAAATAATGATAAATATGAAAAGAAAGATAATCCAATAAAATAATGATAAATATGAAAAGAAAGATAATATCATAAAATAATGATAAATATGAAAGGAAAGATAATTCTATAAAATAATGATAAACATGAAAAGAAAGAAAATGAAATAAAACAATGATAAATATGAAAAGAAAGAGAATGAGTCTCACGTTAACATCTGCACCATGCTCAACTAGGAATTGGACTATTTCTATTGAATTCGATTTGATTGCAATACTAAGAGGGTATTCATTAATATTGAAAGAATTTCATAAAACAATGATAAATATGAAAAGAAAGAGATTATCATAAAACAATAATAAATATGAAAAGAAAGATAACGTAATAAAACAATGATAAATATGAAAAGAAAGATAACGTAATAAAACAATGATAAATATGAAAAGAAAGAGAATGCCATAAAACAATGATAAATCTGAAAAGAAAGATAATATCATAAAACAATGATAAATATGAAAGGAAAGATAATTCTATAAAATAATGATAAACATGAAAAGAAAGAAAATGAAATAAAACAATGATAAATATGAAAAGAAAGAGAATGAGTCTCACGTTAACATCTGCACCATGCTCAACTAGGAATTGGACTATTTCTATTGAATTCGATTTGATTGCAATACTAAGAGGGTATTCATTAATATTGAAAGAATTTCATAAAACAATGATAAATATGAAAAGAAAGAGAATGTAATAAAACAATGATAAATATGAAAGGAAAGATAATTCTATAAAATAATGATAAACATGAAAAGAGAGATAATGTCGAAAAACAATGATAAATATGAAAAGAAAGAGAATGTAATAAAACAATGATAAATATGAAAAGAAAGAGAATTCTATAAAATATTGATAAATATAAAAAGAAAGAAAATGTAAATTTTGTTAATGTCTTCTCCATTAGAAAATAAATAAGATGCAACATCATAATTTCCGAAATGCATACTTTCTGCTATTGAATTTGGAGTTTGGCCAAAATTTGATTTAAGGTACTCAGCAATTTCATAGTTTCGATAATCCAATGCTGTATTAATCATGTTATCAAATGATTTACCATCTTCTATCATTTGCATAAAAATGCTATTATTTCCGCCTTGAACAGCATATTTTTCGGAGTTATCTGTGTATTTAGCTCCTAAATTTTTCAAGTAATTGAAGCACAATTCTGATCCATTTTTAATTGCACAATCCAGTGGTGTGATATCTTTAATTCTTTTATTAATATCAAGATTTGGGAATTGAGATTTAAGTTCATCAAATTTATCCCATGCTATATAGTATAAATGAGAATTTGTTAAATATAAATTCAGAATTTCTTCTTCATTCATGTTAGGTTTGAAATTTTCAAATTTGAAACCTTTATAATGTAGAAGCATCGCCAATTTCTTATTTTCTGGTTCTTTAATGCATGAAAATGCGTTTGATATCTTTTGGTAAAGTTCTGAAAATAATTTAATTTCTTTAACACGAATTTGTGAAAAAATATCAATCAAATGAAGCGCCATTTGGATAGTTATTTTATGGGTTGTTATTAATTCGATAATTTGTGAAGATATTTGTATAATATTATTTGAATTGACGTCCCAGATAATTTTTGATGCCTGATCTGGGTATTCCAATACATTAATTGGCTTAAGGTCACTGTGATTGCACCAATTTTCTTTTTTTGGCTGCTCTGAACTTATCATGCTTTTTTAAAATTTGGCCGTGACATTTTTTTTGCCTTAAAAATATCATTTTTATCTGAAAAGGATTAAGGGTGCACTTACGCCCCTATGACGGGGCCTTAAATTCAAATATTTAAGGTTAATTTTCAATGACGCTTCACGCCAGTTGTCAAAATTTTAAATTAAAGTCAGATGGGCGTAAGTGCAGCCTTAAAATCTAAAATAAGTATCTACAATGCTTGTTAAGAACAACCATTCAATAGGAAAGCTTATTAAACTATAGATGATTGTATTGTTAAATTCCAAAGAGAATAATGTTATTTCATCTAATGAATCAAAAACAATTAAGAAGATACGACCATTAAATAAATTAATATGAATTAGATGGTAAAGATGTTTTTTATTTAAGGAGTGAACAATAAGAATATTATTTACGAAAATTTATAAAAAAAAGGGTTAAAAATATAAAAAACTACTATAAACAATTATCTTAAGACAGATCCACCATTGAACTGTAGAGCACAACAATGGGATCTGCCTTATTAAGTATAGAATCTGGTCCGCAGCATTCTTTGATCATTCCAGATATCTTTGTATCCTTTATAGCTAGGGATTCCAAGTCGACGCACTCCATCTTGTAGCCAGTTCCGATCATTTCGGATGTCGAATGTCTTAATATGGTTGGCAGAGCAGAATAACACCTTGCTCTTGCCACTGGTTGGCTGTTTAGGTCGTTCGCGTGGTTGTCGTTGCTGTCGTTGTTCTGTGGGAACCTCTTGTCGAATTTCGTCTTAATTTCGTCGAAAGCCTTAATTGTTTTCTCACGGCTGCCGAGAGGAACCTTTGTAATGCACTTTTTGACATCTCTGACCGGCCAAACAGCGTAATTTTTGACTTCTTGGGTGATTAACTCGAGAGCTTCCATCAGAACAGGCGTTGTAGCGTTTGAACCGTTGAAAGCGATGCCTTTCATTGGTATATTCTCTCTCGTGATCAGTTTCATGAGGCTTTTCATTCCGATATCGCCAAATGCGTGGCCTGTTAAGTCAATTGAAGTAACTGTCTGCGATTGGCACATTGCATCAAGCATAATAACTGCTTCCGTGCCAAAAGCGAAGTTTCCTTCAGCGACAAGGACAAATCTTTCCAGATTTAGCGAACTGAAGAGCCTGGCGATCTCGTTCGTGTTGGAGGGCTTATTGGGGATGCAGTCTGATAACGACAGATCAATCAGATTCTTCTGTTGGCAGAACCATGTAATAAATTGTGGAACACACTCGTTTGGAACGTACGTGCCATCCCAGGAGAGGCTCTGTAGGTTGGAGACTGATCCAGAAAGGTTAGTGTAGAATAATTTCGCATCTGCTGGCTCAATTGCGAGATTATTTGCTTTAATTGTCTCAATTTGGGACGGAATTGAACCGAGAGCCGTAAAGAATGATGACAAGCTCTTTTCGTCGGTCTTGAGACTAGAAATGTCAAGAGTTTTCAATTGTTGGAATGATTGAATTGAATTTACCGGAATTGGTAGTTTAAATATCATTCCTGAGAGGCAGAGCTCTTCTATACCTGTCTCGCAGATGAAACATGTTGATAGAATGTCGCCAATGTCGACTTCGCAATTTGTAATTTTTAATTCTTGGAGACACTTGTTTTTATGGATCCAATCGCAATTGAGCAGCATGACTGAGAACATTTGGATCGTAAATGGAAGGTTTACATTTGAAATTACTAAGGAATTCAGATTTCTGAAACAATTTGCATCGAAAATGTTATAGAAGAAGGCTTCCATGACAGGTTGTGCAAATTCACAGTTGATTATCTGTATTGAAGTGATTTTTGAGTCTAATTTGGCAAGATCATAAAAGAATTTACGTAATCTCACGTTTGTAAGATCGCAATGCTTAAATATCAATGTATTTAATGGTGATCTCACGTCATTCTCAAAGAATCCTTCAGGAACTCCAAGATTTGCTTCAATAAAAGATGTCTTGTAAAAAGTGAGCGAAGTAATCGTCGTGGCTTCCTTCAGAATGCCAGATAAATGTGGTAAGAATGTCATGAAGCTGACATCTCTTAGGATAATTGATTTAAAGCAAGTTTTACCGCAAAGAGTCGAAACTAACGCTGGCATTAACGTAGAAGCAGCGACTGTTGGTGTAAAGATGATAGAATCTCCATTTTCACTCAATGTTTTACACATGGAATTGATTTGATCGACTTGCAACGGAATATCAAGTGCTAAACACTCCGAAACGAATCTGTCTATGGTAGGGTTTTCGGATTGAACATCAACTACTTGTTCTTTTATTTCCTGCTTGAGTTCTGTCGATGCATGTATTGAAGCATAGCCCATTTGCATAACCTGAAGTGCAACGATGATAGCTGCGATCTGAGCAATGTCGTCATGAACGATTTTGAAATATTCAGTTTCACTTTTCAATTCGATATATTCTTTTGTGTAAATGATATTATCTAAACGACAAATCGGTATAACTCTTGATAATCTAAAGCCTGCTGGGAAAGTTCTCTTTGTCAGAAGGAAAATTGCGGGAGATGCGATAACAAGTGTTCGATTTTGAATTTCCCCGTGAGTATTTATTTTGCCAACACTCCCGGACCATAATATCTGAACGTTTGTAGCATTCATGACTGGATGAATCGCTCTCAATTGTTCAGTGGACATTTTGAAAGAGATTTATAAGTTCACTTTTTTGTAAATTCTCATTTCTCTACGCCGGATAAAGATTCTGTTCGAAATGAAATGGCGAACTAGATAAGTGCAAAATTACACATATGAATTATTTGTATTGAGATGCGTTGCTTCAAAGAAAATTTATTGTGTGAAATTTTTTTTATTGTTTATTGCATAATCATTATAATCGAGCTTAAAATCAATTTTCTACTCATAAATTTGATTCAATAAGGAATTTGGGGCTACCGATATTTAATTCAATGAAAAAAGCTTCAAATCTCAGAGATCAACTATATCTTTATTCATAAATTACTTGTTAAGATTACAATTTCATTAGGTTTGCCTATTAATCATAGAATTCAGGACTGTTGCATGCTAAGATCAGTCATAATGTAAACCTCTCAATTTTATTGTCGTGGGAAGTATCTCAATTCCTTCAAAAAAATTGAAAAACTATTTAATTTTAAAAATATAATACTTTTAATTAGTTAATTAATTGGAGATATTTTTAAAAAATCACTTTTGATAATACTTTTGAGAACTTTAATTCAAAAAATATATTCAAAAATATCCAGGATATCAAGAGGGAATTGTTCCTTATGAGGTATATAGTTATGATGTATACTTCATAAGGAACAATTCCCTCCTTAAAATGAGAAAACTTGTTCGAAATTGTTTATCATTTCGAACAAGTTTTCTCGTTTTTAATAAGAAACTAAAGGCTATGAGGCACTGATTATATATTAGTGCCTCACAGCCTTTAGTTTCTAATAGATAGCTGGGAAACTTTCTCCAAATGATAAGTTATTCAGAGAAAGTTTCCCAGCTATCAAGAGGGAATTGTTCCTTATGAGGTATATAGTTATGATGTATACCTCATAAGGAACAATTCCCTCCTTAAAATCGTAGACATTTTTATACTTATTAATCAACCATTCAAAATCATATTCCTCTGAAAAGTTATTTTATTAAAAATTTAGAATTTTAATAAATATAGAGTTTGAATTTCATACAATACCTATATATTTTCAATAATGGAATTTGAAAACCATTCTCAAAAGTTCTCAGAAAACCTTTTTTTCATTAATTTTAAGAAATCTGAGTATTAAATTAAGTGATAAATTCGTTTGACACTACTTTAATTTTTAAATTCAAAAAATTATACCGTAGGTTGAATAGCCCGAGACCAATTTCAAAGGTCGTGTACCAATAAAAAATTTTGAATCAATTTACACAACGTGCCCATTTTACTCACTCAATATTTGAGAAAATAATTCAATTTTGAGAAGAATGGTCCTCTGCGTTTTGAGTGAGTGACGAAAAAAATCTCAGAAAAATTGAATGAGTTTTTATGGCCATGAACCAAATTTGTGAAGTTCCCGTTTAAAAAAAATGCAACCAAGAACACGAATTCCCGAGTTTGCAGAATTAGAAAACTATAAAAATCTTGGGCTATTGACCCAGATGCAACTCGATTTACTCTATCGAAGAGTAAATGGCGAGTCTTATCAACAAATACGGAATGTTTACTCAATTTCAAAGACGACAGTAGCACGCGCAATCATGCGCACTGCTACTTGTCGTTCATGGACAAAAGGTCAGTCAGGGGGTGGTATGACCCATTTGTCACTACCAGATGAAATGCAGTTCAAAAAACTTGTTCAAGAGATGGCAGACGACTTGAACTGTATTACAACATCAATGGCCATTGCTGTCTGTACGGAATTACAAAATAGGAGATTAAAATTTGCGGCGCGGGTACTAATCGCTGCAAGATGCCCGCATCTTCTAGCGAAGCTCGATGATTACTGCCCATCGCCATCCCGTGGCTGGCTTAATCATATCGCCACAAGATTGTCAATTCGGATTGTGAGCTCCCAAACTATTGATATGCTCCGACGCTCTACCTGTGACGCAAACCATATTCGCCACAATCCGAATTACAATTATTTTTGGTTTTATATTTTTTGTGAGCTGCATAATGGAGTGAGGAAGCATCTTGATGAAGAGAGGAAGCACCTTGATCAAGAGAGGAAGTACTTTGAAGAAGAGAGGAATCACTTTGTTGAAGAGAGGAAGCATCTTGATCAAGAGAGGAAGCACCTTGATGAAGAGAGGAAGCTGCATGATGGATGCATGATGGAGTGAGGAAGCATCTTGATGAAGAGAGGAAGCGTAAGAACCGATAACATTTACAAAATATTAAATTTATTTTGTAAATTTTCCAAAAGCCTTAGTACCAATGTAATATAAATGCTCCAAAAATACCATCCCTCCTTCCAAAAGCGTAAGAACCGATAACATTTACAAAATATTAAATTTATTTTGTAAATTTTCCAAAAGCCTTAGTACCAATGTAATATAAATGCTCCAAAAATACCATCCCTCCTTCCAAAAGCGTAAGAACCGATAACATTTACAAAATATTAAATTTATTTTGTAAATTTTCCAAAAGCCTTAGTACCAATGTAATATAAATGCTCCAAAAATACCATCCCTCCTTCCAAAAGCGTAAGAACCGATAACATTTACAAAATATTAAATTTATTTTGTAAATTTTCCAAAAGCCTTAGTACCAATGTAATATAAATGCTCCAAAAATACCATCCCTCCTTCCAAAAGCGTAAGAACCGATAACATTTACAAAATATTAAATTTATTTTGTAAATTTTCCAAAAGCCTTAGTACCAATGTAATATAAATGCTCCAAAAATACCATCCCTCCTTCCAAAAGCGTAAGAACCGATAACATTTACAAAATATTAAATTTATTTTGTAAATTTTCCAAAAGCCTTAGTACCAATATAATATAAATGCACTAAAAACCCAAATGCCAATAGCATGTATTCAAAAAATGCAATTCAATACAAATTTGATTGCATTTTTTGAGATGGAAGTGTATCTGAATTCACAATTGTAATCCACGAATACACTTCCATCTCATTGATAAGAGGCTAATGTTTTTCTCATTAATAAGGCGCTGTTGGCCTCTATCCATAGCCGAAGTGATATTAACGTATGTTAACGTACAAAGTAAAAACATGTTTTTTCTTTTTAAAATCATTTAGTAATTAATAATATTTAGCACTCATAGTAAAAACATTAAAATTTATAAGAATCGTTATGAAGAAAAATTGAGAACTTATGATTTTTATTTAAGAAAATGATTAAATAATATATAAATAACCATATAAACAACATTTTAGATTCCTCTGAAAAGGGTATCTCAAATTGGTCTATGACCAATTGAATGGTTCGCCGGTTATTCAAGGTACGGTATGTGCTTCTTAAAATGACTCAAAAAATTTTATTATAAAATAATATATAATATTAAAAATCCCACAACATTTTTTACTTTACATAATCGTACTTCCTCGACGATTAATTTCCACTCAATTTCTATCGTTGACCGAACTTAGCATGCAACAATAATATTTTTTATTTTCAAAAAGGTACTTTTAATGGGCCAAAAATTGAAAAATTTTAATTTCTCTAGTTTCTAGCCAGAATCAATATAGAGTTCATATGCAAAAAGTGAAACTACTATGGTGTGGAAAAAAATATCAAAGTTCCCCACTTAAACCCTATATATATATATATAAAAAGAAAGTGATATAGCAGATAAAAGTAGTAATTTATAAATATATAAAGTTAATAATGTCTGTCAAATTCTTGTGAGTGAAAGTCCTTTAGACCAAAGAATTAACAAATTCCTTTCAATATATATTTTCAATTTCAAAAAATTGGGAATAATTTCCTTAGCTTTAGTGCAAAATATAGTCGAAATCTGAAATGTTTTATCAAGCATGATTAGAGATATATAAGACTTTATGTTGTTTGATTTATCGTCAGTTTCACCGTAGTGGGGTACATTTAGAATTGGAGTTGATTCTCTGTTTACTTATCGTTCTCCACTTATTGCAAGCTTATTTGTCGCATAGTTAGATGTAAAATGGTTACATATGTGTCAAAACGTATGAAAAAATAATAAAAATCCTTCTTACAATTAAAGTATGAAAAGCTAAATTATTATTATTTTTTTTTACTTCTAATAAAACTCATCTTGGAAGATGAAAGTGATATATCTTATGCAGTAACATCATTTTTTTTGCACCATGTGAAATAAGAAGTTCAACAGTTTTTTTACTATTGTTCCATGCTGCGATATGAAGAGCAGTTTTTCCACTTTTATCTTTTTTATTAATATTTGCACCATGTGAAATAAGAAGTTCAGCAGTTTCTTTATTATTACTCCATGCTGCTATATGAAGAGCGGTTTTTCCATCTTCATCTTTTTCATTAATACTTGCACCATGAGATATAAGAAGTTCGACCATTTCTTTACTATTGCTCCATGCTGCTATATGAAGTGCGATTTGTCCATCTTCATCTTTTTCATTAATATTTGCACCATGTGAAATAAGAAATTCGGTTGTTTCTTTACTAATATAATATACTGCATAATGAAGAGTGGTTTTTCCATCTTCAGTTTTTTCATTAAGATTTGCACCATGTGAAATAAGAAGTTCGGCCGTTTCTTTACTATTGTTCATTGCTGCAATATGAAGAGTGGTTTCTTCATTTTTATTTTTTTCATTGATATTTGCATCAAGTGAAAGGAAATGATCGAAAAGGGATGGAATATTAAACATCACTGAATAAACAAAGCATTGGTTAATATCCTTAGTTTGATCGAAATAAACCAAAAATGATTCAAGATTTTTATATTTTCCGCAAAAAAGTAATCTGATCTCTATATTGTATTCATTCATCAAGAATGTAACAAAGTCAATATTGTGTGAAATAATTGCATATTCCATGCATTCTTCACCTGGTCTTTTAAATTTCAAACATTCACTCATGATCTCTGGATTTTCGCCTAAAAATGAAAATTGAAGACATCTTTGAGTTATTTCTGAGTTAAATTTCGTTCTTAATAACTTGAAACAATCAACTGCTCCATGATAACAACATAATTCAAGTAATGAATATCCTCCATAAAAATATGGGTATAATTTGCTTTTAAGTTTTTGATCTTTATCAAAACTTTCTCCTTCTGTGAATATGATGAATCTTTATTTGTCATTATTCATAATTGCTCTGTAAATTGTATTTTCTGTATGAAATTCGAGATTTCCTAATTTAATTTTTCCGAAATCACAAGATTTGTCTAATCTAATTCCATATTCTTTATAAAATAGGATGTTTGAAATAGTTTCAATATGGCTGACCTCTTTGACATGATATTCATCAGATATGAGTTTGGCAAGAGATAAATATGACTTTGTATAGCGATTATTATACGGAATAATATTTAAAATATCTTTAATTACATTTGTGGGAAGATATTTTATTGAATCAATCAATTCTGTTTTGATCATTTTGTAAATTGTTTTTAATTCTTCTTGTTTTTCAGTTTTCAGTTGATACAATGCAATATATAAATCAATGTGATATTTATAGATACTTCGCAATTCAGCGAATTTATTTAGGTATATGCCTTGATCCGCCCAAACCGTTTGTATCTTTTTTCTTCTCGAAAGCAAAAAATTTTGAAACATATCGTCCGAATCAATCTAACTTTTTGTTCGGTATATATTCCTACAAAATTCTTTCAATTTCATTGAAAGGGAAATCTCAATACAAGTTGCTGTACATGAACAAAATTATCTTTTAATTCCACAGTATATCGTTGGTATTAATTCTTTTACATTATGAGAAGAATTTATTTGGACAATTGATAGTTTATCAATTCATCATCTAAAGCCCTTTCTATCAAATCCAAACTGATATTATTTAAAGTGTGGTACTATCTCATTTCGAAAATCTAAAATCCCAAAATTGAAATCGTCACTTTTTCTCTTTCTAAAAAATGACTTTATCAAATGTACCTCAGCAACTAGAAGTTACATCAGAAGAAGAGGAAAAGTTTGAATCCCCAATGGAAAAGCTAGATATGATTACATTAATTTCAAAAGATGATCAACATTATATAATTCCACGCGAAGTCGTTTGTCAATGTAAATTCTTCGCTTCGATGTTTCAAGAAGAAAACGATTTTGAGGAAACACAAACAAAATCAATCAATTTAGAATACCCTAGTTATTTAATTGATCTTTTGGTAGATTTTCTTTTCGCAAAGCACCAAAAGAAATTGGGCAAAGATTTTACAGTACCACCTGAGTATTTACTTGATGTATATGCAATGTCTGACTTTTTAGGAATATAATCATCAAATTGTACAAGATTTTATTCAAAAACATTATTCTTATATTACAAGTTATTCTTCGAGATTCATAGCTGCACGAGAAATCTTTAAGAAATCCTTGTTTTATTTTTATGATTCGGATTTTCAAGTATAATTGCATGATTGTTACTTCAGACTATAATTACTATGTTATACCATACTATTAATAAGATTTTCAGTTTAAAATACTGCAATTTTGCTAAAAAATTGAAATTTTAAGCTGAATTTGAATTTCTGCATCCATTCATAATAAAAATCTTAATACATACTATCTTCTAAATAATTTACTTCATTTTTTCTCCATATATCCAATATTATCAAAATAAAAATATTAAATTTACAAATAAACTTTATAATATACAATACAAAACAAGTTTTTTGAAGAGTCAATCATCTTTTTGAATTCCAATCACATATTGAATGAAGTTTTCAATACGAGATGATGTAGTTTTTTCTTCTGAAAGAGAACTTTTCTCGTAAAGAGCATCCAAACCTCCAATTTCTATAAAGTGATCAATAAATCCATATTGATTTGAATTCTTTTGATCTTTTCTAAATATAACAACTAAAATAGACAAAATTAAATTCAAAACATCTTTGTCATCATCAACAATCATATAAATAGTAAATGGAATTATAAAATCAATGATAAATTGTGGATTAATTAATTCAATATCTGTTTGAACAATTTTGGATATTGTTTTAAGAATCCATACCTTATATATCAAACTTTTCGATTCATAATCATATGCCAAAAATTCTAAAAAATCATTTTGAATCAAAAACGTCATTATTGGTCTAAAACCAATTATTTTCCCAACATATTTTATGGATATATTCATAATCTTATCAGATTTTGCTTGTAAAGCTCGAAAAACTATTGTTTTCAAATCAATCTTATAAATCTCGTAAAAATTTGGGATAAATGGTACAATTACACTAATTAGCTGTAATAGTTCAATGGTATATCGTTCATCTTCGTAAGTTTGAGTTCGATAAATTAAATCAAGAATTGTTTCATTTTGGTTGATTTTTAATTGAAAAAATCTATTAATATCGACTTTATTTGATATAAGACGTCTAACAGAATTAAGAATAATCAATTCTGAATCTTCAATTTCAGGATTATTAAATTTGCATAAAAATTCGAAATAAGTTTCAAGAGTTTCTTCACTTAGATATTTTGGGATGGATACACGATACAGTTTCATTGCTAAAGCTTTTTCTTTGAGAGTTGAAAATTTATTTTGAAAAATTTGTAAATGAAGTCGTAAAATATCGAAAAGGTAAATATTTCCTTTTGATTCAGTTGGAAATGCGATAAAATTTATAAGAACACATAGCGAATAAAGAATTATGTTTGTATATTTCCCAGTTTTTGATCTTTTTTGAAATTCTGCCTGGATTATGTCATATATATGCAAGAAAAAGCGATCTATTGAAAGAATCATTTCAATAATATTTTTTATACGTGGATCATTTCGATTAATTTCTGTAAATGTCTGAAGCAAAGTCAATGTAAGTAATTTGACTCTTGTGTGGTTGGAATTTAATAACGCAAGCAAAATTGGTATTAAATCTAAAATAATTTTGTCATCAATCTCTGGAATTTGATATATTCTTAAATATCGTATACAAGAAGTAAGTAACTTTGAGATTTCTAACTTATCCATTTGCACGCTATTTGAAATTAGTTTAATAATTGCATTATTGAAATCAAATTCTGCAATTTGATCTGCTCCTACATAAAAATTCGAAAGGATATCATCTTCGTTATTGCCTTTGATTATCGGTTCTTCCAATGAACTAATCTTAAGGTCATTATTATCATCATTTTCATCATCAAACATAAAATAATTGAGAATATTTTTTAATATATTATTAGCATTCAAGTAACTAGTGGACATTTTTGGCAAAGATCCATTCATGCAATTTATTTTTCCTTCAAAAGCATCACTTTTTTCCCCAGAGATTTTCATTCCAGTTTTTATCTTTTGGGAATACCAGTAAAATCAATTCTTCGAAACAATCAATGCAAAAAATAATTGAAGAACTAATGAAGAAAATAAATTGCCTGCTCTTTATTTCAGATAAAGATTGGGGTGATTTCATCAACCGTTAAGGACGCACTTACGCCCTTATGACATGGACTTCAATTTCATTGTTTAAGGTTAAATTTCAATGTCGCTTCACACCAGTTGTCAAAAATTTGAATTAAAGTCAGATGGGAGTAAATGCAGCCTTAAGTTACACCTCGTTCATAAAGGAAACCAAAAGAATTGAGTTTATTCGTGTTGCTCTTTGATTTCACACAAGTTAATTGTATTTCATGCATGAGTAGCAAAAATTGATAATATGAATCAATCATATGGAACATGAAATTATGATATTGCACTCGTAGCTAAAATAATAATTTGATTCATAAATTCCCAACATATTTGGGTAACTTCCCTTCCATGAAAAACATTGCAAAATTTTATAGCTCTATTGACTCTCTCAATTTTGAGAGGGATATCAATCGATGGGATAGTTTAAGTGATTTTCTCTCCGTAGAAAATGAAAATCTTACAATCATTGAAGAAAGTTCATTCAAATACAAACATAATATAACAGAAACCTAAGATAATTGTCATTTAGATGGTTTAGTAAATTTTGGATTTTCTCTAAATAAAAAGAATGAATATGGAAAAGGTAAATAAAAGTGAATTCAATGCGAAATATTGAGAAACACAGGAATATTTCTAGTAGTAGGATAGGAAGGGTTGTGTGACTTTTTTTGTTACATCTATATATAGACGATGCATTAAAATATATTTATTTATAAATCATTAAAAAATTAACATTAATTTTAAAATAATTTATTTTTTTATCTTTTATAAAAGAAGCTATATATAGACGATGTCAGATATTCCGCGATTAATTAAACATTGTTTAAATCCTGAATGGGTTAAACTTCAATTTAAAAAGGAAGACTGTGAATTATTAAATGAATATGAAAGCCAAAATAAGCTAATGAGGTATAATATAATGATAAAGAATATTTAATTTCATGGAATCAATGGAGTCATAATCAAAGACCTCATAAACGAGAAGAAGAAATTGAAAATAATGAAATGGAAATCATTGATGACATTAAAGAGGATGGAATTCCTAAATTTTGTAGAAAAACCTTTAGAACTAAGTTAGGAGCATATAAACGTAGAGTATTAAATCCTGAATATCTTAAACATCAATTTAAAAAGGAAGACTGTGAATTATTAAACGCTAATGAATATGAAAATGCTAAATCAAAACTGAGATATAAATATATTGGAAGTGATGAAAGGTGTAAAGATAAAGATAATGTTTATTCAGTTTCATATAATAACTGGCACACGTTAGGGATAAGAAAACATTTAGGAGATTATGGGAAATGTTCTGAATTCTTTAAATCTAGTATGTATGAGAGAGTAAAAGAAATTAGAAATAATTATTTTCATGAATGAAAGATTCACTACCATAATGAAATAAAAAAATAAAAAAATAAACTTTAAAAAGAATTTGATGAGTTCAACATAGAACTTTAAGAAACTAATGATTATTTGAATTTATGAAATCAATTATTTGATTCATTCTTTCTTCAATCTCTTCTATTCTTTTGTTAAATCATCTATTTTCATTAATGAGGTGATTCTTGATTGAGGAATAGATTTCAAACTAACCACCCCTTTATTTTTTGAAATTTTGAATCCATCAACTTTAAACATTTTATTCAATTTACACGTTGTCAATTCTTCAAATAATTTTTTATTATTAGCATAATAGTCATTAAATTCTTCAACAGATGAAAAAATTTTTATTTCAGTAATTGGTTTAACAACGTTTATTTTTTGTTGAACATTTTCACTTTCATTTATTTCTTCCTCCTCTGTTTCATTTATTTTTAAAATCGGTTTCATTTATCATTAAATAAAAATTAGAATATAAGTGATGAAATATATTTTTTTAATTAATATTAAATCAGAAATGGCGGCAGGATTCTTTAAAAAATTATGGGATGGAATTAAGAAAGCTGCGGGTTGGGTTCATAAAAAGATTATTAAACCCATTGCAAACATTTTGGCACCAGTAGCGAAAACGGCAGGAACTATCATAGGTGGAGTATTAGGTACTAAAGCAGGTAATCCGGCGATGGGAGCACAAGCAGGTAACGCAGTTGGTGGAATAGCTGAAGGAATACTTAATAAAATAGGAGGTAGATAGTGGAAAAATAAATAAATATTATTTTTATCTTAGTATCGGTTGAAGTCTTTGATAAACTTTTTCTCCTTTATTTAAAACTTCTCTTATTGGGGCAGCTTTTGGTGTTATTGATTCAGCAACGTCACTAATTGCGTCTTTATTCTTAAATATCCAACTTGCCCCCTTCTTCAATGTTTCCCAAACTTTATGCGCTCCTCTTTTTACTTTATCCCACAGTTTCTTAAAGAATCCTGCAGCCATAGTTGATTATTTCATTAAAATTAAAAATTCATTTTCATCTTTTAATTTTGATTTTTTATTTATTAATAAATGACGACTAACTATTTGGTGCCAAACACTAAACCGATTAATGGAAATGTGTTTCATTCATTCGAAAAGATAAATGAAATATTCGCAAAGAATGACGGTAGAAGATATTATAGAGAACTTGAAAGTTCATGCTATGACTCTGATGCTCCATATTTTGATGATAAACAAACTCATTTAAGAATTACAAATCCAGCTCATGATGTGAAACAATTAGGTGACACATATATTAAACGCAAAGTTAAAGCAACTCTAGTTTCAAATAAAGCTTTCACATGTGATGCCGCTTTTAAATGCATGCGTTTATTCGTTGGTTACAAATCATCAAATCAAAGCTTTAAACAATTAGAAGTAGAAACCGAAAGAGGTGATGCCGGTTATCTTCAGATGGATTGCGCCCGTGAATCTTTCGCATTTGCAACATATAAACCAAA